CAGAATTTCTTTTCATGTGGAGTCATGTAAATCAGAAAACCAATGCACTACATGGGTTCCAAGCGCTCCCCTTCATCAGTGCTTGGTTAAGAATAGTTTGGAGTGTGCTGGACGGTATCACTCAATTATATCCTGAAAGACAGATTGGACTGCTTTGGTTTTCTAGACCTTTGGCACTTTGCTTAATACACCTCCATGATAAAATAACAGGGCTGCCATTGCCTACCTCCTTTGAAGTTGCCTGGTTATCCATACTTCGTGAGGTACTGCCCAGCAACAAGCAGAGACTATTTCCATACTTGTTTGGGTTGTGTCTCATACAGGCCAGTGGGTCAATTTGATAGACAGACAGTAGTTTATGCAGAAGATCAACAATTGTAGGCCCATTATTTTTTGTAATGTCTCGTTTCAGAAGGGTTCAGAGTGAGCTGAGTGAGGTATATACACCAGAATCACTTCTCTACTCTGTATCGACTCATCCGCTAATTTGGGTAGCTATGCCAATATTTGGATCTACTGAGTCAACAGAACTCACTCTATAGTATAGATATAGTATAGATGCCATATACATAGATGTATATATACTCTTGTATATGGCATTTTTATATCTGTATGATTTAAACAAATTTGAGAACAGCTCAGTAAAACACTTGACTTGCTTAATAATTCTTATAAAAGTATTCATCATGTATTTGTTTAACTATATGGATATAGGAAAGGAACAAAAGAGAGCGCCTCCATAGTGTAAAAATGTTATTTAATAGTAAAAACACGCAGCTCTAAGGCTGTACTTACAACAGTTCGGTAGAATAAAAACCAGTAGAATAAGGTGAGAGGACGGAACCCCTGGCAGGGAGAATCTGGAGCGATGTAAAACACCATTGGTTCTGATGAAGGGGCCGTGCCACAGAAACGCGTAAACCATTTATCAATACAGGGATCGAGGTTACTGGTGTTTTACATCGCTCCAGATTCTCCCTGCCAGGGGTTCCGTCCTCTCACCTTATTCTACTGGTTTTTATTCTACCGAACTGTTGTAAGTACAGCCTTAGAGCTGCGTGTTTTTACTATTAAATAACATTTTTACACTATGGAGGCGCTCTCTTTTGTTCCTTTTCTCATAGACTGGTGGTCCATCTAATCTGTGGGAGCTGCCTCCATCGTGTTTGCTGTATTTTTACTGCTGGGCTCTTTTTGGATTTGAAGGCGCCGATATTGTTTTGCTATATGGATAAAGCTTTGACATAAAGGTGAACAAATACCTTACTGTATTTTAAGGTTCATGTAAAGGCCCTTTTTTTCTTGTTCATTGAAGGACACAGTGTTCAATAAGTATGAAACAATTGGGTTATGCCACACCCCTTTCAGGATGAATTGGACTCTGGCAAGCAAAAAAAAACAGTGAATGTTCATTTTGAAAAGAGTATTTTTGCATTTCAATAATTAAGATGAACCTGTGTTCATTTTAAATACCCAAACATGTGCTATGGTAACTCAATTTTTTTTTCTAGGGCATGATTGGTTGATTAAAGTGAACACAGCTTTACCTTTGCCTAACATGTTGAATATTAGTTTTACCGAGTGAACAGCATTCATTCCTTTTGTAAATCAACCCCATTTTCTCGAATAAAATTTTAAGAAGAGCAGTTTAACCATTTTAATTCTTAGCTCTTTATGTAGCTACCCAGATAATTGTTTCTTCAGCAATGCTTTGAATACTGGACCCAGCTGGACCAAAGATTGCAGGATCAGCCTGGAATTTTAGGGGTTTTCCAGACCTACGGGTGCTGTGTTAGTTTAGAGCAAAGTGCTCTCCAGCTCTAGAGCCATGGCACAGTCTCTGGTGTGACCGAGTTTCTGAAGACTCACTTTGTAAGTATGCCCATGGATGGGGCAAAGATAACCTGGAATCACCTTTAGGTATTGGGCTGTACTTGTGGCATTTTCCAGACTCTTGTGTACTGTGTTAGTTAGTAGTGATGGGCTCGGGTGTGTTTGCAGCTCCAGGTGCCGAGCCCGCCAGGAAGCTGATAGCGCCGCAGCACCAGTCACAGGCACTGAGACATTATCCTGGTCCGCAGCTGCCTGGCGAGCTCGGCGCTGCGAATACGCCCGAGCCCATCACTATTAGTTAGCCACAGAGCACTTTCCAGGTCCAGGACAGTGGTACGTTTTTGAAGACTCCTTTATTATGTGTCTTGAGTACATAAAATGAGTACATAAGGCTGTTCAAGCTGTATCTTGCCTTATTAGAACACTGACCGAACCTATTGGCCATGCACAAGTGTTTAAGGATCCAGTTGACCAACATCCCGGAGTCTTTTCCAAATCCTTCTTTTCACTAGCAGCCCCTGCTATGCGACCTGCCATATCCATAAAGTCAATTTGTCAAACCATAGGGGAATGAACAGAGTTTATGTTTAAGGATCTAGCCACTGTTTTTATTGGCCATTCAGATTCTACAGCACAAAACGTTTTCAGGGTTTTTACTCAAACCTTTTCACTGCTCCAAAACTAAAAGGGAGCATCTGTCCCTTTTTGGATTTGAAGACCTTAAATGTCTTTATTAAAATTCAAAAACGTATGCACGTAATCTGCCAGGTCTACCATAGCCTCCCTCCAGCAGGGAGACTTTCTACCCTCTGTGAACATCAAGAATACTTAATTGCATGTCATTATTTTCCAGTGCACCAACTCTACCTCGGTTTTGCTGTGGGCACACAACACATCAGTTTGTAGTACTTCCATTTGGTCTGTCTTCTCTACCCCAGCTCATTCCCGTCTGGGATACCCGGATGATCTATTGTTAGAAAAGTTAACACAAATTCTAACTGACTGTGTAATCTGGACAGTCCAGACATTAAAAAGGTTTGGTTGAATCTTGAACCTTCAGAAATCAAAGATTTTAAGCAAATATAAAAAACACCAATGGATGGAGTTATGTTTCATGATTAAAATGTATTTTTATGCAAAACAAGTGGAAGCACCTGAAACCTGTAATTCCTTGTAAATCAGCACGCAACTGGAAGAGGAAAGGCAGCACTAGGTTTTACTGCAACCCACATGTGCTAAAAGTGAATAAGCTGACACATGTTTGTTTCAACTGTAGTTTAGATGTTTGCATGGGGTCAGATTTAATAACACATGAGAAACAGACTGCAAACAGTAACTATGGGCAAAATAGGAAATTACATATATGATGCAGTCTGTCAATAGCATTAACACAGCAGGTGTTGTTTTACTGTGCCCTCCCTGATGATCTGATGATCTTGCCAGTAGATATGTTGTGTTAATCCAGTAACAGATCAAGCTTTCTAGTAAAAATGATAGTTAGTGGGGTTGGTTAAAACTATATTATACTAACAGTGGTGCTTTAAAATGGTTAACTTTAATTTGTACGTATTAAACCGCTTCAAAAAGTGTTAGCTGGAGTTTTGTTTTCATTTGTTTTTCTTCACTTAAAATCCATGCCCATGTAAGACTACCCTGTTTATGGGGAGACAACGCTGCTGATTTGAGTGCAAAATGAACAGCGTTGTCACCCTATTACAGGAAGTGGAAAAATAATCTGTGTACAGATATGGTCTACAGAGTAAATCAGCAAATCACTGCCGTCTATGGTCAGCCAACATAGATGTCACATATAGATATTGATAACTTCTAAAAACGTGAAAAAAAAACCAACACAACATTATCATGCTAGAATTTTATTCAGAGTTCATACTTGTAAAATTTAGAAGATTTAATAGAAACAGAACAACAATCAGAGATAAAGAGACTGGTAAAGAATTTAATCAAGATCACAATAGACATGTTAGATATTTATCAGCTTCATTCTACCTAATGCACCTGGTAAGCTATTCTGAATGCCCACAATATAACATATGATAGTTTCCATTACTGCAGTTTTAAGTACAAGGCAATGTAAGTGATATTTTAAAATTTCAATTTATTGCCCCTAGTGATATAACTATGTAAACGAATGTATACAAGTAATTTTTACAATCAGTTAACTTGAAGGGAAACTTTGCCATTGGTGAATGTGTTAAATAAGAAA